AGCTTTAAAGATATTTCAAAACATATAATGGATACTTCGATATTTAGCAAAAAACATACTATAGACAATTTCGGATGGACAAGCTAAAAAGCACAACAGTTTTGTAAGAGAAATAAATGCACAATCTTTAATAACAGTGTGTAAAATGAGTAAAAAGGAACCAATAATGTCATGTGGGTAGAATGAGTTAAAAAGAAACCAATAATTTCATGTGGGGTAAGATTTGCTCTCTCGTCTTTTTGGCATGTGGGTACTATTTTAGATAGGCCGAGCTATACTTTACCTTCACACACTACACAGAAGAAGAATGGGAGAACAAGTAGTACTAATCTCGTCAAGCATTGTTCGACCCGTAAACAAACCCGGGTCGGACCGAACTAAGATCCATCTTACTCCATTTGATCTCAATCTTCTTCACATCGGCTCTCCTCAAAGAGGTCTTCTCTTTCCCAAACCCAATCCTGACTTCCACGTCATCTCTCGACTAAAGGCTTCTCTCTCTCTAGCCCTAGAGATATACTTCCCTTTCGCTGGTCGTCTTGTAAAAGTTGAGAATCTTGAAGACAACACGGTGTCGTTTCTCATAGACTGCGATGGCTCTGGAGCTAGGTTTCACCACGCCGAAGCTAAAACTATCTCGGTGAGTGACCTACTTCAACCTGATGGCTCTGTTCCTGATTTTATGAAACAGCTCTTTCCAGCTGACGATTTTAAGAACTGTGATGGAGTTACTAAGCCCTTGCTTGTTTTACAAGTCACCGAGATGAAGGACGGTATCTTTATCGGTTACTGTTACAACCACCTGGTGGCAGATGGTGTTTCCATGTGGGGTTTCATCAACACTTGGTCCAAGATTTGCTCGAGTGGTTCTTCAAGCTTCGTTCATAAGCCTATTGTTCTCAAGAGATGGTTTCTTGAAGGGATCCATTACCCTATCCATATCCCTGTTTCAGAGGCCGAGAGGCCACGACCAAGCCGTGAACTGCCCATTACAAAAGATAGGGTGTTTCATTTCACAAAAAAGAATATTTCAGATCTCAAAGCTAAAGCCAACAGCGAGGTTGGCTCAAGTGACATAACCATCTCTTCTCTTCAAGCGGTTACGGCTCATATGTGGCGGTCAATTATAAGACACAGTGGTCTAAGCGGAGGAGAGACGCAGTACAAAGTAGTGGTGGACGTGAGGCAGAGGGTAAACCCTCCGCTTGAGGAAGATTGTTTTGGGAATATGATATATATTCAACAAGCTATAGCCACTGTGGAAGAGCTGCTTAATCGTGGCTTGGGTTGGGCTGCTTTGCAAATAAGTAAATTAGTGAGCTCGCAAACGAATGAAAACTGTAAAAAGTTTGCTGAGGATTGGGTTAGAAATGTAAAGAACCTAAAAACAGGTGTTGGGAGTAGAACGGTTGGTGATTTTGTACTTGTTGGAGGCTCTCCCAGGTTCGAGGTGTACAACAATGATTTCGGTTGGGGCAAACCGGTTGCAGTTCGAGCTGGACCGGGTAATAATATTAGTGGTAAACTTGTACTTTTTCCGGGAATTGATGAAGGAAGTATTGATGTTCAGACATCACTATGGTCTGATGTACTAGTGAATCTACTAGGCGATGTGGAATTTTTAGAGCATGTGAGTATTATGGTTTGATATACTAGTGAATCTACTAGGGGACCTTATGATCTATGTATGATTGGTTTCATTAAGGAATAAAACAGTTGAATGCGTTTATTTCATATGGAAATATACAAACCGAACATATACCTTATAAGGGTTTAGCGATTGAATATATGATTCAGTGTGATTTGGAAATGGATGCAATAGTTAGGGGAAAAAATTGCAGACAAGAATCAACTACTTTTAAGTGTCTTTCCAATTAATTGTTCAAAATTTTCTCTCTCTCAAATATTTTTACTCTCTTTTAAAAGAATTGTTTGTCCTAACAATAATTTCTAAGAGTTGTTTTTGTTATTTTTATTAGTTCTTCTCTCTATAATGTACACAAAGAGACTATGTAAGAAAACAAATATGTTCAATGAACAGTCACATATTTAATGTTCGTTTAAAGGATCATAAGAATATATTTGCCTAAGCCTAACTATCAGTTAATCAAACCGGTTCAGTACAGTGTCTAATCACATGCGCAAACCGATCATGAACTAATGTTACTGTATCTTCAAGCACAAATAACATCAACCAGAATGTGTATATAGCAGAAAACAAAACGAACGTATGATTCAGGTTGAACGAATTTGATCAACCTAATACAAATTATTAATTCCTAGAATTTGTACAGTTTTAGCTGGTTAGCGCACTAAGTAGCAGCCTTCCAATAATTGAGATTATGCACATAGAATTTGTCTAAACGTAAGACGCACAAGTTGAAAAGCGACACAAATAGTTATCAAAGACTCATAAAAGTCGTGAAAGTATAATAATATATGGAAACTTGTAGGTTGAATTATTTTCTTTGTAAGAAAACTAATGCGTTGCTCACAAGCTGTAGATAAATATATATATCCACACTATTGACTTTGGAGACCAAAAATGGCAGATGTGACTGTAGTTTCCTCGAGCATTGTTCAACCTGAACACATCAACCAATCGGTTCCAGAAAAGATCCATCTAACTCCATTTGATCTCAATCTTCTACACATAGATTATACTCAAAGAGGTCTCCTCTTCCCCAAACCCGACCCTAAAACCCGTTTCATATCACGCCTAAAATCCTCTCTTTCTTCTGCTCTAGATGTTTACTTCCCACTCGCTGGTCGTCTTGTCAAAGTCCACCATCAAGAAGACAAGACTGTGTCGTTTCACATTAATTGCAACGGCTCTGGTGCAAGATTTATGCACGCCATAGCTGAGTCTGTCTTGGTACGTGATCTTCTTCAACCTGATGGCTCAGTTCCAAGTTTTTTAAAGCTTTTCTTCCCCATGAACGGTGTCAAAAGCATCAACGGTGTCACCGAACCCTTACTTGCTATTCAAGTCACTGAGATTAAGGATGGCGTCTTCATTAGTTTCTCTTACAACCACATGGTCGCTGATGGGTTTTCGATCTGGAACTTCTTTAGGACATGGTCCAAGATTTGCAAGAATGGTCAGAAGGAGAATCTTGATCGTCCTATCGTCCTCAAAGGATGGTTCCTAGACGGTATAAAATTTCCGGTCCATGTTCCCGTTACAGAGACAGAGATAAAGACGGCTTCATCGAGTGGTGAAACGTTGACAAAAGAGAGAGTGTTTCACTTCACAAAGGAAAACATTTCAGATCTCAAAGCTAAAGTCAACGGTGAAACTGTCTTAAGTGACCATAAAGTCTCGTCTCTTCAAGCGGTCTCGGCGCTTATGTGGCGATCAATCATTAGAAACACTGGTCTAAACCGAGAAGAAGAGGTGCGTTGTATTATAGCTGTGGATTTGAGGCAAAGGCTAAACCCTCCGCTTGAAAAAGAGTGTTTCGGGCATGTGATCTATAACGCAATAGCTAAAACCACAGTGGGAGAGTTGCAAGATCATGGCCTGGGGTGGACTGCTTTGAAAATAGGTAACATGTTGAGATCGCTGACGAATGAAGACTATAGAAATTTTGCACAAGATTGGGTTAGAGATGTAAAGATCCCAAAATATGGTGGTGGAAGTAGAATGGGTGGTGATACTATAATTGTCTCTGGCTCTCCTCGGTTTGAAGTGTATGATAATGATTTTGGTTGGGGTAGACCGGTCGCAGCTAGAGCTGGACCGGGGAATAGTATAAGTGGCAGGCTCGTGCTTTTTCGAGGGATCGAAGATGGAAGTATTGATGTTCATGCGACCTTGTCTTCTGATCTACTTGCGAGTTTATTGGCTGATGTTGAACTTTTGGAGAATGTGACCATTACATGATTGTTTGGTCGAGAAATAAAACGTCTATTGCCAAAATTTAAGGTACTTGTAAGTTGTAATTCTGTGGTCAATACAATTTGTTTGCTATTTTAAGATAAGAGTTTGCATGTTTTATGTCAAAACAACTATCGCTAAATTTGGGTTAGGTTAAGTGATACTAGTCTTTCCTATTCTAGTCACACTTTTTGGTGCATGTGTTATGATCTTAGATTTCTTGAATTAATTCCGAATGAATAATAACAAATCAACATTCAATCATACGTAAGACTACAATGAATTGTTCGTATATACATTACATGTCAAAGAAAAGAATAAGAATCGTTGGATCTGGATCTAAACACTAGGTATAACAAAAAAATAACCTAGCCTTTCTCAACAACTCTGTTTTCTCCTCTGTTTCTCCATCACTCCCGTCACCGCACGGTGACCCAGCCCCCCGTGACAGACCAATCAGGGATCGATTCACTAACCAGACTCCCAAATCTCTCAACCGGAGAATCCAACGGCTGATATTGTGTGACTGATTCCAACGACATAGTTTCCCAATCAGGAAACTCGAACGGGCATCTCGGCGATGTTGAGCCTTCTTCTTCCTTCACCTCCACAAATAATTCTTCAAGTCGATCACCGTCTTCACAATCAACGGCTACAAACGGATGGTTTAAAAGCATCTCAGCCGTCCATCTTTTCTCCGAATCTTTAACGAAACACTTCGACAAAAAGTCTTTTCCTTCTTCCGACAACTCCTCTGGAACCCTCGGCAACTCGTCCCCAACACCGATTCGTATCAAAAGCGACATGAAGTTCGACCTTTCTCCAACACACCACGCCGTTTTGCCGCTAAACATCTCCACTACCGCGCATCCCAACGCCCACACGTCAGCAGCTGCTCCGTACACGTTATCATTAACGGATTCGGGCGCCATATATAACGGCGTCCCTCTAATCTCCACGCCTTCTTTTGACGCCGTCAAATCTCTCGCCAAACCAAAATCCGCAATCTTAACGGCGCCGTCTTCGAATAACAGAATATTCCCTAGTTTTATATCGCAGTGAGCGAACCCTTTAGAGTGCATGTGACGTAACCCTCTGAGCACGGATCCTGTGTAGCGGCGCACAGTATCTTCCGGTAGACCCTCACCGTTTAATTTCTTTAGCTGCGTCGCTAAGCTTCCTCTCGAAGCGTACTCCAAAAGCAAGTTATGTAGCTTCTCGCCCTTCTCCACCGTTTGATCCTCGCCGTAGCACCGTACGATCTCAGGGCAGTCTCCGAGAGAATCCAACACCGACTTCTCGTTCGCGAGGGAGGCGACGCCGTAAGAGTCCGACGATTTCACGGCCATAAGAGGCGGGAAAACGCCGGAGCCTGAAGGGGTTGCTAGGCTGACGGTTGAAAACGCTCCGTATCCGATTGTTTCTCCACGAACCCACTCCATTGAACAGAGAATTGCGAAGAAGAAAGTGTCTGAGTTTTGATAGGGTTTTTTTCTGAGAGAAGTGTCACGCAAGGTTTCCTTTTATAGAGAGATACGAAGTTTTGATTAGGGTTAGAAGTTTCCTTTTTTGTTTTGGATGGAAGAATGGAAAAATTGTGATATTGGAGATCTTGTAAGATACAGAACTTATACGTAGCTTGTGACGGTTGATTTGTGTCTGGTGGCGCAACTTTCTTGCTATATATACTTGAATTTTTTTTTTTAATAGTAATATTTACTTATCAAAGTTTGGATTGTTGAGCGTAGTTATGCACGTGATGAGAGAAGGGATTTGATATTTCCTAGTTGGCCTCAGAAAAATGAAATAAATAAGTGAAATAAATAAGAGTATTTATTAAATTTTGGGAAAATTAGTGTTACTGCACGACTTTGGATTCGGTGGATATTTTTTCTCTTGGATAAATCTTTGCGTGGTCAATGTTTACATAAAGGTGATTACATCTTAACCGTCAACTTTTAACCAATCTACAATGAAATTTTTTGGCTATTTAAAAAAAGATTAATTGTAAACTATAAACTTATACCACGAGTTTTAATATATCGTTTTTTGTTGTGAATTTGATTAATCGCAAAATCATACAAAATAAATAAATAAACAAATCGTGGTATTAGCAAATATGTAAACGAATATAACCATTATTATATTAAACGTAATTGGATTTACGGGTCGTTTATAGTTTAAAACTATAGAAATGCATGCTAGTTGGGTTTGTAATGCTTTTTATGTTGCCAATCAAAGAATCAAATTCTTCTCCATTTGGTAATGCTTTTAACATTTTCTTATGTTCTTCTTTTTTTAAGGAATAAGAAGTTTTGAGCTCGAATGTCCGTTCTCTTAAGATGATGTCTGAACAAAGAACCGCTTTCCATTTTCTCATAGCAGGTGCATGCACTTTGCATGTTTACTCTCAAATAACATAATGTTTCTCCCGTAAGAAAGGATATTGAACTGATATTGTAGTTTATACTCCCTCTGTTTCTAAATAAGTGTCACTTTAGTCTTTTAATTTTGTTTCAAAAAAAGTGTCATTCTACAATCCCAATGTAATTTTGTACATTAAATCTATTTTTTACCCTTTTGAATAACCAATAGTATTTTACTTAAGTTATTTTCATTTAATTAAACATACATTAAATAGGGATATATTAGTCTATTATACAATTTTCTTAATTTATGTGCAAAAAGTCAAAATGACACTTATTTAAAAACAGAGGGAGTACTATTTTATTGTCTTTTACCCAATTCCAATAGCAATTCTATAGATTTTGATGCTTCGACATATATAACTACAGTGAACCTGTATAAATTAATAATATTGGATTACACCAAATTATATTTTTTAATTAATTTATAAAAATTATTAATTTTTCGATATATTAATTGAACCAAAAAATTCACTTTCAAACTATAAAATTATATTAATTTAAGAAATTTTTAGTATATATTAATTTATAGAATATTAATTATAAAAATTATCATGTATATCCAACAACTCTTCCAATCATTAAGCTTATTGCTAGTATCTTAAGTCGCAAACTATACGATATATCTAACTTTAATTTGCTTAATATAAAATTCTCACATCAACTTGTTTGGTCATAAAAACTTAGATTTTAGAGCATCTTCACTCCTATTATATTATTTAAGGTGCTTATTTTTTTTCTTTTATTTTTTTATTTGATTTAAAAATAAATAAATAAAAAAGAAATTTAAACTAATTATAGATCATTACATGTAAGTAGAACCCGTGAACAGTACAAACAATTAACCATTTAAAATATTTAATTAATCATTTTAAAAAGTGGTGTTTAGTGTTTTTATAGGATTTACTGACATAAAGCATTGAACACTCCCTTAAACACTCTCTTTAATAATGTTCTACTGGGCAAGATCGTCATGAAATAAAATTGCGGCGCACCTCTTACTCAATAAAGTATTTATTGATTAGTATCCAAGAAACCACGAAGAAGCGCTTCACAGTGACGTTTTTCTTTTACTTTCTTTATTGTCGGATCAGACTGCGAATGAAGTCTTCAATTCTTACAGAGAAACAGACTTTCGCAAGTTGCGGCTCTTTAGTTTTCAGTTTTACAGATTTATATAAGTACCACTCAGTAAAGTATTAATTTAAAAAATATCATATGACTTTTCAATATAGTAACAGACATTAACGGAACCTGTGGATATGACGAACCACGAAACCGAGACGGCGAGACGTGTAGTGTGTCCTTAATTAGCCGTCACCGTCACATGCTAGCATGTTCTTTCCACCAATTTACTTATTTATATATTAGTTTCTAGATTTCTTGATCTTTTAAAATGCTTACAATTGCGAATATACTCGATCAGATATAGTATATTTGTTTCTTGGATAAAGTATTATATTTGTTTTCTGTAAAATGGATAAAAGACCTTGCTACTTGTGTTGGTGTTCCAGGAAAAAAAAAAAAAAAAAAACCTTGCGACTTGTGCAACTATTTTTCTGGTTTTGGTACCATCAACCAATCACATATTCCAATTTTACTTTCTTTTTATTTATTTTTCTTCGGCTACTTTTATCGTAGTTTATACTTTTTCCTATCTACTTTCAATTATTTCTGTTGTATAACAAACAAAGAAGATTTGAAGATTCTCCTCCAACATATAATAGAGTCTTCAACTGTCGCTTGGTAATAACGCATAATATTGTTTTTTTAACAAAGAAATCGGAGTATGTAATATGATTGGTTCATGTTAGCAAAACCAAAAAAGGTCGCAAGTCGCAATGTGTTTATACGATATCGTAAAACTTGTTTGTGATATCTATCTATAAGCTTGTGCCCTAGTCCTACCACGAAATTTGCTCGACGATTGTTAGATAACACATTTGTACATGGAACAAAATACCATACGTTAAATGAATAAATAAAATATACGTACAAAATCGATGACTATGGAGGGGTATAAGAAATATGAACTTTAAATATACACCGAAAAAGTGTCTCTTTGCTTATCTACTTATAATAAAACAACATAAAATATGATTTGGACAACATATATGATATATCATGCAGTAAATAACACGATTAAAGTCTAAGTTTTGCTGGCCACAATCCAAAACTAATATATTTCTGACATATATTCAACCAAAATATTGCGTTAAAGTAAATTATTTGAAATTGTTTGGATATGGTAATTATAAGCACAACTTGATTATGCAGAAACAGAAAAGCAAATGTCCATGATGTATCGTTTATTGCAAAAAGAAAAGAAAATAAGAAGAAGCAACTCAATTCGATTCAACTTGACCTCGTAAGTGGATTTGATTTTTCCAAAGCTAATGCGTAGGGGTTCCTCTAAAGATGAGCATAATCCAAGGTTTTCGAATATTCCTTGGTATCCGTAATGCATAACCCAAACTATTTCATAAAATATTTTAATTGAATTACAGTCAACTTTATCAGATAGATCGATTAGGGGTTGAGAAGTGTACGCATCCATTTTGTTGACTGGGCTCTAGAATGAGTTCGTATAATAGTATCAAGCCGAACCCAAATTGGGCGGCTAAAATCAAGTTAATGAACACAACAATTTA